CCCAAAACCCCAAAACCCCAAAACCCCAAAACCCCAAAACCCCAAAACCCCATCGGATCCCATCTATTGAATATGGATGACTCAAATTAATATTTATCCTTCTGGTGGCATAAAGCATTATATGAGGCAAACTGTAAGCCTGAAATCGAAGTAGACAATATCAGCATTAAATCCTTTGTCTCTTGTGATACTTCATCTCCATTCTCTGCTGCCAAATTGAACTGATCTGTTGCTGCTTGGATCGATTGGAAGGCAGACCGGAGCTATAAATTAAAAATAAGCAATTACATTTTCCTGTATGAGTCCTTCCATATTTCTCTTTGTAGTAATGGTATACTCACTAAAACTATTTAAACCAAAAGTTATACTCTAATTTTGTACCCTTCGAGGACTTTGTAAGAGCCATTCTAGATGCTTTTAAAACAGAATTCCTCTGAATAACAGGACTGTCATCCCCTGATGCATCTTCAGCATATGCTTTGAAGGTCCCCTTTGATCGATCTTCTTCATTATGTGTATGACTTCTGACGTAATTTGGATCTAAAGTTCATAAAAAGAGCCTATACTCCTGTTCCTGGATTCTTTCTTATTTTTCTTTGTCATTTCTAACTTCTTGGCTTTGGTTTCTAAATTTTTTAAATTTGGATATTACCTTGATATTTTCTTGAAGATTTCTTGCTCATCATTGAACTGCTCTGATCATCTTCCTCTTTATCCTCTTTAATAATATTTGGTGTAGGAGGTTTTCCAAGTAAAGGTTTTTCTGGTGATAACACAGTTGAGGTGTAGATATTGGGAGCAACTGATTGTCGCTTCTGATCTCTCTCATAAACACTATTTCTTAGAGTATCCCCAATCCGAGATGGCCTGCTTATCAGATCTTTCACACTTGTTTTTCTCTTAGGATTCACTGCTTTCTCAAAATTGAAAGCATTGTCAGTGTCAGATTGGGTCTCACTTGGGTCAACAGGGATCATATATTCTTCCTGGATTTGAATAGTTTTCTCCTCTTCGCTATTATCTTCTTCATCATCCGTGACAGTCTGCTTGAGTTTTGCGAAAGGATCATTATCTTTGGTTCTCATTGTGAAAGTGTCCTCTATTTGTTGCTCTTCCTGATTATCCATAACATTAACGGTTGATCTTGCCCAGTCAGGCATAGAGCCTCTTGGTTCAGTTTCGTTCTTCGAATGTGAATTCCCCCATTCTTTCCTATCCTTTTCATGAGGATTATGAGAGATATTTGATCCTCCAACATCAGCAAGATTGAAGTCAGGATCAACAGCTTCTTTTAACTCTTCTGACTTGAGAGCATCACCAGGAATTGGAGCTTCAGTAATCCTCAAACTTCTTTGACCAATCTTAAATTTAATCTCATTCTGAATACTTGATGGAACATTCCAGATATATATTCACCCAGTGCTTGTAGAGGTTATCAAGAATTTATAATCCGGAGAATATTTTATACCTGTGACTACCTCTCCACAGCTGACTGTATGCACTACAGTACCTGTCTTTAGCTGAATGAAGCTAATATCTCGCTTCTTCTTCGAGCATGCGATCAAATAGAGAGACACATCATCTGTCTCTAATTTAATGTATTCCTTAGGAGTAGAACTCTTTGGAGCAATATCTTTAGACAATACTATGGTGTTGTCTTCCCTACAAGTTCCAGCTTGGAGCTTTTTGTCTGTCCCAATAATTATACTACTCTCGTTAGAAGCCATACTATAAATTTTCTCTTCAGGTATAATCAACTCTTCATTTACTGAAAACTCAAGTTCTTCATCTACAGACACAGTCTGAATAGTTCCCTTGGCATCAGCTGAAATGATTCTAAGTTCTGAACTTCTGGGATCATCCATAATTTTTACTCCCACAACTGCAGATTTGTGATAGTCAAATGACTTAATTTCTTCGTAGCTCTGCTGGGCATCGAAGACTTTAACCAGTTTATCTTTACTTCAGGTTACAACTTTTTGATATCTCTTGTCCTTAAAATCTTCTATATGTTCGTGAATTCTATTCCGAGTATCTCGCTATCGTGAACATCATAGATATTATTAAGTGACAGCTTTAGTGCATCAAATATCCACATATACCCTTCCGAATCTCCTCATATCACATGAGGGAGATCTTTATCTTTGCTCATCGCTATGGTTCTAATTCTTCCTAATTCAGCTTCTTCATCCTGATCAGTCTTAGACTTCAAGTGGTCAAAATTATCACAGAGAAGTCCTACCTTGTCCTCATTAATTTGACAAGAAAGGTCAATCGGATCAATATTAGCAACCCATCGTCTCAAAGTTCGGTCAACTGATCCAGTAAGGAAAGCAAACTGGTATGAGCTTGCTGTAGCAGGGTATCAATCAATGCTATATACCCCTCCAAAATGACTCTTGATGATATGGAGAATACTAACTTCACCATTTTCAGAGATTTCATACCAGACCATTGTCTTATCACTAAAGAGGACTGCTATTTTGTTATTAAAAGCCTTGACAACTCTAGTATCTGGGTATTCTAGCACTTCAGGAGTTTCAGTCGAATTTTCACCAAGGAAGGGCGGATTTGGAAGCTTTAAAGGCTCTTGAATCTTTTCATATTTCGAGTAAAACACTGCTCCATTAGTACATCCAATAATTAAACTATCACCTAACTTCTCAATCGAAACAGGTGTGACATCTCCAAGAGGGAGTTCGAGAGTAACATCTGGCTCTTTCTTTGCTGTATTCAGTACCAAAAGTTCTCAATTATCCAATATAACCAACAACTTCAAGCCGTGATCGACCATATCCATCGCAACCCTACCCTTTCCAGACAAGGATTTCTTAATTCTGGGCCTTGCCTTGAATTTGGTAGTTATCTCATAAACAGTATCCTTCGACAAGACATATAAAATGCCACGCACAAAAACAATGTTCCTTATCTTATATGAGATAGTGTGACTCCCAATTGGAGATCTTTTGGCTAGATCAAAGATTTCAATCTTCTTAATATCCCTCTTCTCAGAATTTTTAATAGTCCCATAAACTGCAAGGAAGTTCTTCTTTTCATTTATCCTGATCCCATCAATTGTTCTAAATTTTGTTTTGATAGTCCCAGTTGAAGGAGTGATCTCCCCAGCTTTTGAAACTTTAAAATGCCGTATTCATGCTTCTTTAGCCATATATTCTCCAGTATAAAGATCCTCACCGTCTTGGGAGAAAGCAAAGCACGAAAAAGGAAGTCCCTTGGAGTTATTTAAGATACTCCTTTTGCTTTTTCTCTTCAGGGTCATACACAACTATATTCGAGCCTATCCCGTAGATGAACTCTCCTGTAATCGGAGAGAACTGGTACAGATTTGGCTTGGCAAAGGTAAAACCTTGGATATGGACTAGGTTCACTCCCACTGAGGTAGAAGATTTATTTCTACTATCTCTCTTCTCCATCTTTGGATATTTCTTTTTGAGTTTCAAAAATTATAAACCATAAAGGGGTTTTGGGGTTTTGGGGTTTTGGGGTTTTGGGG